TTGCACCGACTAACCAGCCACATGAGTGCTGTCATTCTGATAGCAGCTCTGGCCACCACTCACTGAGCACTCATTGCGTGCTAGGCAACCAGGCTGGCAGCAGGTGACCTCATTTAAACCCAGCAAGTCTGAGAGGGGGTCTGGGTGCCAGGCAGGCCAGCCCTGAGGTTCATGCCATCCACGCAGCATGTGGACTTGTGGGTGCCGAGAAATGGAGTGCCCAAGGTCAGGAGCCGCGGCCAGGCCAGGGTTCAGATCCCAACTCTGCCTCTTAACTGCACTGAGCTGTCCTCCGTGAGCCTCGGTTTCTACCTCTGCAGTCAGGGCTTGCCACAGCCCTGGCCTCACAAAGAGGTCAAGGGTAAATTGAAGTTGGGCACGGGGAGTGCTTGGCAGAGAAAGCCTCTCTGTCATAGTCATAGCTGCTTTAACACGAGAGGGCAGGACCAGAGGGGACAGTCGTGAGCAGTGGGCCTTCCTTCCCGGGGACCCACAGGCCAAAGCCCCAGGCCAGAAGGGCCCCGGGGGAGATGCAGGCCAACGGCGCGAGTGGGCTTCTCCAGGTGGTCAGTGGTGGCAGGCCCACCAGCCTCACCCCACTGCCTGCACCCCCATAGGAGATCGGGCGCATCTCCATTGAGATGAACGGGACCCTGGAGGACCAGCTGAGCCACCTGAAGCAGTATGAACGCAGCATCGTGGACTACAAGCCCAACCTGGACCTGCTGGAGCAGCAGCACCAGCTCATCCAGGAGGCCCTCATCTTCGACAACAAGCACACCAACTACACCATGGAGGTGCGTGGCCGCCCCGCCTGCTGGCCTTTCCACCAGCACGGCCGGCTTCCTCACTGGAAATGGCTCGGGCCAGTGAGAAGATAGCTGTCTGCTGTGTTTTTCACTCTGTTTAAAAATTATTGAAGAGACCAGCACTTTGGGAGGCCAAGGTGGGAGGATGGCTTAAGCCCAGGAGTTCAAGACCAGCCTGGGCAACATAGCAAGACCCTGTCTCTACAAAGAATGAAACTATTAGATGGTGGTGCATGCCTGTAGTCCCAGCTTCCCAGGAGGTTGAGGTGGGCAGATTGCTTGAGCCAGGGAGGCAGAGGTTGAGGTGAGCCGAGGTCGTGCCACCACACTTGTCTGGGTGACAGAGCCAGACTCTGTCTCAAAAAATGAAAAAAGATTCAAAAGACTAAATCAAAATGTTCAGACATTTTAAAAAAATTACACTTTCCCTAGCACTGCTCTCATCACCATGACAATGCCCCTCACAGGACAAGCTGGTCCAGGGGCCCACGGAGGGCACCGTTTGCCCTGTGGCCTCAGCAGTATCAGCCTTGCTCAGGGTCAGAGCCTGCCACTGGCTAACACGCCAGGAACGTTGCAAGCTGGTCGCTGTCATATTGGTAGCTTGAGAAGCCAAAAGATTGGACACTCTTGATTCACCCCATACAGGTCCACAGATGCCTCAAACCAGAGTTGGCTTATTTTTTTCCCCTGAGAGCCAGTGGTGAGACATTGACCAGACTGTGTCCAAACAGTCTCCACAGGGATCCCAGCACAAGAGTCATGGGTGCTTGCCCTTCTGCTGCCCCTGTAGCTGGGAAACACACTTACTGTGGAGACATAAGCCTCGTGGCAGAGGCAGCAGGGAGGCACCACGGCCCATGTCCTCCGGCAGGTGTACAGGAGAGCAAGGGCTTTCCCCAGGGCAGGCTCCCGAGGACATCCCACCACAGTGAGGACAGTTCACAGCGCCCAGCCCACAGTCACACCCCTGTCTTCCCGCAGCACATTCGCGTGGGCTGGGAGCAGCTGCTCACCACCATTGCCCGCACCATCAACGAGGTGGAGAACCAGATCCTCACCCGCGACGCCAAGGGCATCAGCCAGGAGCAGATGCAGGAGTTCCGGGCATCCTTCAACCACTTCGACAAGGTGAGCAGCCTGCCGCCGCCTCGGCCTCTCCCTTCCCGCCGTTGCCGTCCCAGCCCGCCCCCTCGTCTCTGCATCTGTCCGTCCTTTCCCATCACAGTTGCTGAGCATCGGTCGCCACTCTCAGGGCCAGCAGGGCCCTGCCACTGTCAGGGTGTGGCCGTGTGGCACCGAGACCCCAGCCCGGGCCACTTCACACACACAGGCAGGGGGCCAGATGTCCCAAGTCCTGCCCTCTGGGGTGGCATCCTCACCACCCCTGGGGAAGATGAAGTCTCAGCACACCCAGGCTTTGCAACCCGGTCTGTGAACCTGGACACAGACACCCTGCACGGTGCTTTTAGAATTCAGATTTGGTCTGGCAGCCTCATCAGAGGGGCCCTGAGCGCCAGTTTGCTGCCATCCCCAGCCCACCCTGCCAGGCTGACAGACTGAGGAGTGTGCAGCCTCAGCTCTGCACCTGGTGTCCCCAGGACAGGGTGCAGTCCCTTCTGTCTCACTCCAAATCCCAAAGGCAAGGAGGGCCCCTCTACCTCCTATCCTCCTGGAGGACAGCCCCTCCAGTCCTGGGACTTGTCCTCAATTCTGTGGCATCCAGCTGCCGCCCCTGCTGTGGGCAGAGAGGTACAGGAGGCCTCTGCCTGCCTTTGAGCTTCCAAGGTTGGGGGCAGGATGAAAGGGGCCCGCGCCGCCCCCCGCCCCATGCGTCCCTGGCCATCTCCTTGTCCACGTCACCTCTAACTCTGTGTTTCCCTTCCCTACGTGTCCCTTCCCCCTGCCCTCTGCATGTGACCCCGATCCCTCATCCTGGTCTCCACGCCCGCCACCCCTCCCGCACACCTGCCTTCGGATGGCCCCGGCAGGACCATGGCGGGGCGCTGGGGCCCGAGGAGTTCAAGGCCTGCCTCATCAGCCTGGGCTACGACGTGGAGAACGACCGGCAGGTACCGCACCCTGGGCCCCAGTGGACCGTGGCATTAACTGCTCTCTCTCTCTCTCTCTCCTTCTCTCTTTCTCCCCTTGCCATCCCACCCCTGCCATCCTGTGTGCCATCTCACGGCTCTCTTGCCTCCCTGCCCGCATCTCCCTGGACACCTTCCCTCTTACCTGGTCTCTTGGGGCCGCTGTCTCCCTGCTCCCCGCCACTGTCCTGTCTGCCCGCTGTGCACATGGGGCGGTCCCTCTTGCCTACTCTGGGCCCGGCCTCCTCTGCTATGCCTGCGTCCTCGGAGCAGAAGCAGACAGGCAGCATGGACTCCGATGACTTCAGGGCTCTGCTTATCTCCACAGGATACAGCCTGGTATGCAGCTCTGTCTCCCCAGCCGCCCGCTCCTCCTCCTCCTCCCCTACCTCTCCCCCTCACCGCCTCCAGAGCTTCCTCGTCCTCGGGGACACTCCTCCGCCCGAGCAGCGCAGCCGTGCCTGCCTCTTCCTCTGCTGCACCTGCCGGGGTGGGGTCCCTCCGATGACTTCCCAGCCCCCCTTCTTCCCTAGAAGTCTCCAGAGAGAGGGGACAGCTCTCCCACTCTCTCTCTCCCTTTTCTTTCTCTTTCTCTCTCTCTTTCTTCCCCACCCTCCAGAGCTAACTCGTGAGTCTGGGCTGAGGGCAGTAAACCCCAGTTCCCTGCTGTCGGAGACCACAGGAGGGGAGGGTGCAGAGAGGCCCTGCTCCCCAGCCTGGGGCACTGAGGGCTTGGGGCTCTGGGGCAGCCGGAGCAGTGGCAGGCTCTGCTCGGGGCCAAAGCCAGTGGAGCAGGTGGGGAACAGGGCGGACGCACATGCGGGTTGGGCCCTGCTCTCAGCTGTTTCCCTGGAGACCCCACCAGTGTGGGCCTGGCTGCCCCTACCCCACTCAATGTTGTGTGTCCCCCACCCCGCCCCCTCCTTGCAGGGTGAGGCCGAGTTCAACCGCATCATGAGCCTGGTTGACCCCAACCACAGCGGCCTTGTGACCTTCCAAGCCTTCATCGACTTCATGTCTCGGGAGACCACCGACACCGACACGGCCGACCAGGTCATCGCCTCCTTCAAGGTCCTGGCAGGGGACAAGGTGAGCGAGACCCCTACGAGGCTCATGGGGGCTGACGAGAGGGGTCCCTGCAGTGGGAGGGGCTGAGGGGGCAGCGTGTGGGTGGGGATGGCTCAGAGTCCCACCCTGCTGGCCCCAGAACTTCATCACAGCTGAGGAGCTGCGGAGAGAGCTGCCCCCCGACCAGGCTGAGTACTGCATTGCCCGCATGGCACCGTACCAGGGCCCCGACGCTGTGCCCGGCGCCCTCGACTACAAGTCCTTCTCCACAGCCCTGTATGGCGAGAGCGACCTGTGAGGCCCCGGAGACACCCGGACCCAACACCCGCCACGGCCTCCGGGAGGGGCCGGGGCAGCCCCACAGTCCCTTCCTCCACTCTGTATCTATGCAAAGCTCTCCGCAGTCCTCCGGGTGGGTGGGCGGGCAGGGAGGGGCTGGGGCAGGCTCTCTCCTCTCTCTCTGGGCTGGCCAGGAGGTTCCCCCGACCAGGTTGGGACCGGGGAGACTTGGGGCCAGTGCTTCTGGTCTGGTAAATATGTATGATGTGTTGTGTTTTTAACCATCGTGGAGGGGCCAGTGGATTCCCACAGCAAAACCAGTCCCTTCCATGCCCTGGGGATGCCCCACCACACCCAGGTCTCTTCCTTTTGCCCTGAGGTCCCTTCAAGGCCTCCCCCATCCAGGCCAAAGCCCCATGTGCCTTGTCCAGGAACCTCCTGGGCCCTGCGAGGGGCCAGCAGAGGGCGCCACCGCCACCCGACGGCTGGGGACCCACCCAGCCCCTCCCTCCCTGCTCCAGAGTCACTTGCCATTGCCAGGAGATGGGGGCCCCAACCAGCACCCCACTTTCGCAGCAGAGCAGCTGAGTTGGCAGACCGGGCCCCCCTGAACCCCACCCCATCCCACCAGCTCCGGCCTTGCTTTGGCCTCACATGTCTCAGATTTTCTAAGGACCAAAAAAAAAAAAAAAAAACCACAAAACCAAAAAAAAAAAAAAAATCACAAAAAACACAAAAAAACTATAAAAAAGAATTAAAAACTTTCAGAGGATTACTATTTACTTTATTAACGTACGGATTTATTATATAAATATATATTCACCTAGCAACGTCTCTCTGCCGTCTCTCCTGCTCCCATCATGAAGACACAGCCCATTCTCTTCCGGGCCCCCGCGGACGCTCCTCCGGCTCTGCGTCGGGCGGGGCTCTCTGGGGACCCTCCAGAGTGGAGGTGGGCTGCTGGCCTGGCTGCCTGGTGGTTGATGGTTTTGCTCCCCCTACCCTTTTTTTTTTTTTTTTTTGAGTTTATTCTGATTGATTTTTTTTCTCGGTTTCTGGATAAACCACCCTCTGGGGACAGGATAATAAAACATGTAATATTTTTAAGAAGGATTCCTGCAGTGTCATCTTTTTTCTCTCTCGTGTCTGTCCTCCACTCCTAGGAGGGCCAGGGTAGAGCTAGTACCGTCCTAAGCTGTCAACGTGGACTAGCTCGTGTCATCTACTCAAGAGGGGCTGTCACTGTCCTTGTTTCTGAGTGAGCAGCACACAGGCCAGAGTGGTCACCCGGCCGTGAGCGGTGGGGGCCAGAGATCAGCTCCAGGTGGGTGGATGCCAGAGAGAGCAGCACCCGTGCCAGGCAGGGGCTAGGGAGGTGGTCTTGCCAGCAACCCTGCCCCAAGCAGCAGGTGCACCCGTCCTGAGATCCTAGGAGAAGGTGGCCGCCTCCATCCACTAAGCAAGAGAAGGAAGACAGTGGGCTTGAGGCAGGGAGCTCCCAGGATGGAGCCTGAGCCGCCCTGTCCCTCCCACCCGGCTCACCTGTCTGTGGGTCAGGCAGATGACCCCTTCGCCCCCATCCAGGTGCTGGCTGCAGTGGCCTGTGCAGAGAGGAGCAGGGTGAGTGCCCACTAGTCACCATACCCCTTCCCCCATGCCCCACCATGCCAGGGGTGGTACTCACAGAAGATGCAGGTGAGCTGGGCCACACAGGACACGAACCGCTCGAAGTCCACACGCAGACGGCTATCCCGGTAGCGGCTGGTGAGGGCCTGGGTCAGCTGGTTGTTCAGGTGGAAGCCTAGAGGGAGGCTGCTTCTGAGCCCAGCGGCCCACAGGGAACCCACCGTAGCATTGCATCCCCACCCCACCTCCTCGCGAAGGATGCGGATGCCACAGGGTGTCACACCCCAACTCTGCCCCATCCCAGCAGGGCAAGCACAGGCTGGGCCCTTCAATTATCTGGGCCTGTTTCCTCATCCACCAAACGGGGACTGAGACAGCCCCGACCCCATAGGGTATGTGAAGACAAGAGCGCTCGGACAGCGTCTGGTGCGTGACTCGACGTGTGGGTACTGTTACTCCTTAAATCCTGTGGGGCTTTCTCCTTGCCAGTGGGCACTAGAGGATATTTCTGTGCCGCAAAAAATATCGTCAATCCCCCATGGAGTCGGTTTCTTTACGGTCCACCTCAAAGGCGATTTCTAAAGCTGAGAAACCGTGTCTGCTGTGGCGTCTCACTGGAAGCTTTCCAAAACCCAAAACAATGGGTTCTTGACCCCTTCTGAGATGCAAGGTCGTGCCTCACGACCTTCTCCTTTGTCTCCCACGTGGCCAAACCCAGTTCCAAGGACCATTTCGTGGGCTTCTGCTGCTTCCAAAGCCCATCTTCACCCCCATTCTGTGTGTTCATTCTCTTCACAAATATCTACCAAGTAAGCACCACTCCATGCTGTGCCCACTGCTGTTTAGCAGGAAGCAGGAGGTCAGATGACCTGCCCCAGGTCACTCTCCCTCTGGCCTTCATCTGCCCTCGGGCATAGGGGTGGAGGCTGCTGTGCCCAGGGCTATGAGAAAACCCAGCCAGATGGGGTGGAAGGACCCGAGAAGGGGCTGGAGCCCCTCAGCTGCCTGCAGGAGTTCCCGTTTGAGAACTTCTCAAGGTACTTTATCAGTTTCCTTCTTACTGGAATAACTGGGCATGTAACCGGCACTCAGTGGTGCCAGATGCGTGAGCACAGCCTGCCACCTGCCACCTGCTGTGAGTCCTTGCTCCCTCACCTCCGTTCCTGTCTGTCTCGGGCCCAGCCTCTCCCTCTTTGCCCGACGTCTCCCAATCCTTGGCTGTCTCTGACGCCATCTCTCCCCCTTTTGACTTGGGCTTTTTTTTTTTTTTTTAAACAGAGTCTTGCTCTGTTGCCCAGGCTAGAGTACAATGGCATGATCTCGGCTTATGGCAACCTCCGCCTCCCGGGTTCAAGCGATTCTCCTGTCTCAGCCTCCCAAGTAGCTGGGATTACAGGCACGCACCACCACACCCGGCTAATTTTGTATTTTTAGTAGAGACTGGTGTGGTGGCAGACAGGCCTGGGGGTGGGGTTGGGGATCTGGGAATTCCAAGTTCTGACCCCAGCCCACTCTCCAAATCCCCTCCACATGAGGGTGACAGTCCCTGCACTGTCTCATCTGCCTTGGAGCCCACGGAAAGCCTTTCTCTCTGACTTTGTTTCTTGGTTAGGATGTTGTGCTGGGCTTGTTCCAGCTCATCAGGAGGAACTCAGCCTCATAGCAGAGGCCATTGGCTGGCTCTCTGGGGTGCTCCGGCTTTTTGTAATGAAAGCTGCGTTCTCTGATCATTAAGTACTATGCCCCGCAGTCCATGGATGACTTTTCACCACCCTGGGTACTGGCTTTTTTTTTTTTTTTTTTTTTGAGAGTCAGGGTCTTGCTCTGTTGCCCAGGCACAATCAGGGCTCACGGCAGCCTCAGCCCATCCTCAAGCCTCAGCCTCCTGAGTAGCTGGGACCATAGGTGTGAGCCACCACACCAGGCCCTGGCCATTTCAGAGAGGAAAATAGAGGCTCAAAGAGATGGAGTCAAGTGCCCAGAGCCCCTCCTGGAGTCAGTAGTGTGAGGATTCCAACCTCGTGGCACCAGAATCCAGAACATTTTACCATGCTGCCCTGGGGGCCAGAGCCTCTCAGACATCAGCTCCTAATCTTCCCCTTCCTGGAGGAGCCTCTCTCTCCCCTAGCACCCTACCACGCACATCCCCCTTTCATGTCCTCCCCACCCCACAAACACCCCTTGCCCTCCTTCCTTATTTGGCCTCTTTCAGGGTCACCCAACCCCTGGCAGGGACTGGCAACAAGCTAAGGTGTGGACTTGTGGATGGCCACGGTGCAGATGGCCACAGCTGAGCGGGGGGACTTGGAGACGATGGGATGGGAGAGAACAAGTCCTGTCCCCACGACCACCCCAGGGCCCTGTCCACACCTGCCGCATTCAGCGCCAGCCTCAGCTCGAAGGAGTTCATGGTTCCAGAGGCATCCTCATCGAACTTGTGGAATATGGCCTAGGCAGGAGGGATGAGTCAGGGCTACCCCCCAGGCCTTGAAGAAGGCCGCAAATGGGGCCCGCCAGGCAAGACAGCCTGGTGCCCATCCTAACTCTCTTTTTTTTTTTTTGAGACTGAGTCTCGCTCTGTCGCCCAGGCTGGAGTGCAGTGGCCAGATCTCAGCTCACTGCAAGCTCCGCCTCCCGGGTTTACACCATTCTCCTCCCTCAGCCTCCCAAGTAGCTGGGACTACAGGCGCCCGCCACCTCGCCCGGCTAGTTTTTTGTTTTTTTTTTTTTAGTAGAGATGGGGTTTCACCGTGTTAGCCAGGATGGTCTCGATCTCCTGACCTCGTGATCCGCCCGTCTTGGCCTCCCAAAGTGTTGGGATTACAGGCTTGAGCCACCGCGCCCGGCCTCCCAACTCCCTTTCTTCTGGTGTGGACCCCCAGAAAGCAGCCTAACCACTTTGGACTTCTGTTTCCCAATCTGTAAAATGGGAATAAGAGCAATGTCCCCAGAGGACAAGCTGAGGCTGGGCGGGGGCAGGGATATCCCAGCCAGATCCCTCCAAGTCAGCATAGTCCAGCCCCCCTCATTCCCTGGGGCTCTGATAGCCCACAGGGTGCCTATGTCTCTGTTAGTAAAGGTTCCTGTCTTTCTGGGAAGAGGCCCAGTCTCCCACCTCACCTGCCACTCCAGGAGGTGGCCCCAGAGCCGCTGGAAGTGGTGTAAGGCCAGGCTTTGCCCATGCTGTGTTGGGGGTGGGGGCATCTGGTTAAGGTCAATCTCTCCAGAAGGGGAGGAGACCCCAGCATCCCCTTCCCCACTCCCTCCCTCACCCAGGCACTTCCCCCCCATGTACCCCGAAACACTGCAGCAGCTGCTCACAGGTCCTGAGCCCGATCTCTCTGGGGGTGCGGGTGTGGACCCTGGCTACAGGAAGAGCAAAATCAAACCACAGCACTTTCCTGCATTCTGGCCGCCACTCTGAGGGCCATGTGGATGCAACTCCCTCAAGCAGGCGATGTTGTCAGTCCCATGTTATAGAAGCCGAGGCACAGGGAGCCACTGACTGCTGTGACTAGCAGAGCTGGGATTCCAATCCAGGCAGGGGTGCCCAGTCTGTGCTCAAGGCAGCCTTGCCTCTCAGCAGAAGGGGAACTTGCGAGCAGCTGTGGCCCAGGTCACCGGCCCACACAGGATCCCTTGCAGGGAGATGCTGCCAGGCTGAGCCCTGGCCTCCTGAGCCCAACTCCCAGCAGCACCGTGGGTTCACAGACATAGGGTGGCACCGGCTCTGGTTGCAGGACCCCTAGCTAAGACCCCTCCTCCTGCCCCCATCCCAGCCAACTCACCAGGCTCCAGGGCAATGCTTAGTAAGGCCTGCAGCTGCCAGGCATTGAGCTCTTCCTCCTAGTCCAGGAAAGAGGGCTTGTGAGGCCACTGACTCATCCAGCTGCTCTGGGCCAGGCCCTGTGCTTGGCTGGGCTAGGGACACGCAAGGGCTGACAGAGCCTCAGAGCTAGCTCCAGGAGTCGGGGGAGACAGGCCTGTCCCCACAGGGCCATGGCTGTGATGGGGGAAGCACTGGGCTGTGGGAGCTGGTGGGGGGCAGCAGACCGGCCTGGGGGAGGGTCAGGGAGAGCTTCCATGGCTGGACACCTTAGATGAGGCCTGAGCCTGGCCTGAGGTGTCAGGAGGGAGAGGGTGGTCCTGGGAGAGGGTGGTCAGTATGGACTGAGCCCAAGGCCCTGAGGCAGGGAGGAGCTGTGAGCATTTCAAGAAAAGGTCATGAGATTTAAGCCCGGAGGGAGGAAAAAGTAAGCAAAATGAGACACCCGAGATGCTAGGGCGGGGGAAGGGGGATCTCCAAAGGGAAGCTGCAGCGGGATGCTCCCTCAGCCCAATCCCCCTCCTCACCTCTCCAGCCAGCTCCTTAAACAGCTGCTCCAAATCCAGCTCCAGGGGCAGGTAGGGGCCCTGCGGCACCGGGAAGTTTAGTTCAGGCCAAGATCCCCGCCCCATCGTGCCCCTCCCGGAACAGCCCGCACCTGGAGAGCCTGCAGGTCTGCGCTGATCACGTCGTCGATCTCCCTGCAAATTACAGATGGGAGGTGGGGAGGGGCTGTTTGCCCCAGCTGGGGCTGTGTCTCAGCTGAGGAATCACGTGGGGTCTATCTAGGTGGGGACCGTGCCGTGGGGCCCTGGGGTCATCCTCGCGGGGCGGGGGGGTCCTGGGGCCGGGTCAGGTTTCGGGGGTCTCGGGGCCTGTCTAGGCAGGGATGGGGTCGGATTTGGGTGCCCGGGACTCACACGGCCGTGTGGCGGCGCTCGGAGAAGACACGCAGAGTGAAGTCGGCCTCGTCGCCGGCGTGGGCGGTGCTCAGCACCACCAGGTAGTGGCCCGGGCGCAGGCGGCAGCGGCGGCTCACGTCGCGGCGGGCGCTGAGGGGCGAGCGGTCGGCGCGCAGCAGCCGGGGCAGGAGCGCGCGGCTGCGCGGGGAGTCCCAGAGGCCCAGCAGCTGGGAACGGGGCGGCGTGACCACGGACGAGGCTCACCCCCGGCCCTTCAGCCCCGCACCCTCCAGCCCGCCCCGTCCACCCTGCCCAACCCCCGTCCACGCCTTCCCTGCCCCCGGACCCCGGCTCTGCCCCCCACCCGCAGCGCAGGTTGACCAAGCCCCAGGGCCGGTTGACCCCATCCCAGACTCACCTCCTCTGGAATCTGAAAGAAGCAAGAGCAAGGGGCGTCGGGGCAGGGGAGGGATGGCCGCCGCTCAGGGTCCCCTCCCTGCCCTTCCTCACCTCTCTGCCCTCTCCCTCCTTCTTCGTCCTATTAGACCCTTATTGAACCTTTGCCCCGCAGTCCCCGACCCAGGCCCTCGCCGACCCCTCCTCAACCCTTCCTTCCCCATCTGCGCTCTCAGCGCCTGTCTCCTTTGTCCCCTCTGGCCCTTCTAACCTCCAGTCTCTCTCTGTCCCAAACCTCGCCCCTCAGTCTGTCCCTGAGCCCCTCTCTCTCATTCCCTTAGCTCCCTCTCCCCCTCTGAGACCTGGCCGCCAGCCCTACTCGCCCCCTACTCTCCTCCCGCGCCGTCCCTTCTCGGCCCGGCTCCTCCACTCCTCCCCGATCCCCCTCAGCCCCACCCCTCTACCACTCCCCTCCTCCCCCTTGGCCCCGCCCTCCACACCTCCCCTCTTCTTCTTGGCCCCGCCCCTCCATGCCTCCCCTGCTCCTTGGCCCCGCCCCTCTCCGGGTTCCCTCGAGCCTCAGCTCTACCCAGGACCTCACCTGGAACACGTGGAAGCCCACGGTGAGGTAAGTGAGGCCCTTGGCTCTCAGGCGCCGTCGGTTGCGCTGGGTGAGGGACAGAAGGACGGTGCACTTGGGCGTGCGGCCCCCCCGCGCTGGGCCCCACGCCCCTGAAGCCCCCCAACCCCCCCAGGGCCCTTCCTCATCCTCGTCCTCCTCCTCGTCGGGTTCCAGCAGCGTTAAACGGAACTGAGGATTGGTCCAGAAGGTTTCTAGGGGAGGAGGAAGAAAGGGGGTTTCCCAGCCGGCCACAGCGCCCCCCACCCCGGCAAGCCTCTCAGGGCCCCCTCAGGCCTCACCAGCACTCGGCTGGCTCCCGCCGGAGTTGAAGCCGCGCACCCAGCGGCCTTGGAAGGTGTGGACGTGCCAGCCGCCCCCCTCCGGGCTGGGGCCCAGCACCTCCGGGCTCAGCGAGCAGATCTGCACCGTGTCGAAGTGGAGGAGGAAGTCCCGCAGCTCCATCCTGCACGGTGGCCCAGTCAGACCTTGCCTGGCCCCACCTCGAGGGGGTCCCAAGATCCCGGAAATGACTCCCAGATCCCAAAGCCTCCCACATTTCTTAAATATTGCCAAATATCCTTCAGGTTCCAGAAATGACCCCCAAAGAGCTGGGCCTCTAGCTCCCCCAAATTCCTCCAAGTCCTCAGACACCCCACAAATCGCCATGATTCACAAGCTGCCCCCAAATATTGTTAAATTGCCACCAACCCCCAAAGAGCAAGACCCTTAGACTCCGAATTACCAACAAGTATCCTTCAGCCCCTCAGCATTGCCAAATCTCAAGAAATGCCCCAAATATCACCAAGCCTTCTTCCATTGCCCTGAGTACTATACCCTCCACAGATAACTATGCCTTCAAATTCCCCTAACATTACTACTTTTTTTAGCCCACTCCAATCAGTGGCACTCTAATATTACTACCAATTCTTCCTTGACTTCCCAAAATGGAACCTGGCCCCAAAATTACCACTGATGTACACAGTTTCTCCTTATCAGGACCCATCCTTCCATCGGGGCTTGCCCCTCCCTGAGCCCCCTGGCACGGGGACCCTCCCAGAGGCACAGCTGGGACCCTGCTGAACTGACCAGAACTCGCCATCCTCCTTTTTCACCAGCAGGGCATCGCGGCACTCGGTGGGGAGTGCGTCCCAGCGTGGGCAGCTGGAGAGACTGCAGTGTGAGGGGCGGGCAGGTGGGGTCCAGCCCCACACCCACCCCAGACCCATCCCACCTGTCACTCCAGGCCCCGGTCCACTCCACGCGGCCCCATGGGTTCCGCAGCCGCAGCAGCCGCACCTTGGTGAAGCCCAGGAACACCTGGGGCAGCATCGTCAGTGGGGATGATGCCTGGACATGGCCTGCCACCCCACCCATGGGGGACACTCACCTTGTGTGTGCCCGTGACGGAATACGCGTGTCCCTTCACCAGGCCTTCTTCTGTGCGGTACTCGCCCCGATCACTCTGGGCAGGGGATGGGATGGTGAGGCTGAGGTGGGGGACAGGAGGGCAGCTGCTCCTCCCTGCCCCCAACCTCCTGCCACCAAGGCAGGAGCCAACCAGAGCACTGAACTGAATGGCACACAGCTCAGAGACCATGTCAGGGTTAGTGACTGAAGGCAACAGAGAAAAGGAGAGGAAGGGAGATGGAAATGAGACAAAAGGAGAGGTACAGGCTCACGCCTGTAATCCCAGCACTTAGGGAGGTCGAGGTGGAAGGACTGCTTGAGGCCAGGAGTCCAAGACCAGCCTGGACAACATAGCAAGATCCCAAGTCTACAAAAAATTTAAAAATTCAACAGGCATGGTAGTGCTCATCAATGGTCCCAGCTATTCCAGAGGCTGAGGCAGGAGGATCCCTTGAGCCCACAGGTCAAGGCTATAGTGAGCTATGATGACACTACTGCACTCCAACGTGGGTGACAGAGTGAGATGAGACCCTGTCTCCAAAAACAAAAACAAACAAAATAGATGGAAAGAGGGCCTGGAATGGTGGCTCACACCTGTAATCCCAGCACTTTGGGAGGCCAAGGCGGGTGGATCACGAGGTCAGGAGATTGAGACCATCCCGGCTAACATGATGAAACCCCATCTCTACTAAAACTACAAAAAATTAGCCGGGCATGGTGGCACGCACCTGTAGTCCCAGCTACTCGGGAGGCTGAAGCAGGAAAATTGCTTGAACTCAGGAGGCGGAGGTTGCAGTGAGCCAAGATTGTGCCACTGCACTCCAGCCTGGGTGACACAGAAAGATTCCATCTCAAAACAAACAAACAAAAAATAGATGGAAAGAGAAGACAGACAGAGACATAGAGACAAAGAAAGATACAGAAGAGAGAGACAGACACAAAAGAAAAAGAGAAGCAGTAACTCAGTAGAGGATTTATGTAAATTAATGAGTGAAGGAGTTAGACTAACTCAATGAATGAATGAGTGTGTCATGAGGTCACAGATGAACACATGACCCAAGCTAAGCCCACGAGAATCAATCCTGGGACTTTTACTGAAATTCTCAGAAAGAGGCACTCTTTTTTTTTTTTTAAATAACCCCTGGGGTAGTAGGAGATACCTGCAGCTATGGGGGACCCTTTTGTGCCCATGAGGGGAGAGCCTGGCTGAGAGTGACACTAACACAGAACGGGAAATAAACAAACATAGTTGCAACACCCTCAGCATCTGGATCCAGCTGTGCCTGAAGCCCCTGATTCATGAGAGCAAATGAATTTATTTTTGACTAGTTAGATTTATGAGCGAGCCTAAGCCAGTAACAGAAGCAGAGAAGAGAAGAACCAAGGAAGCACTCTGCCCCCCCCACCACACCCCTGACTGTGCTCTGGTCCTGGTGGGGCTTCCGCATGGGAGTCCAGGTCTCTTACCAGGGCAGTGGCGCCCACAAGGGACTCCTTGGCCAGGGCATGGCGCAGGGCAGAGAAGAGCCCCATGCTGTTTTGTCTCAGATAGAGCACCTCACCCACGCCGCCTGTGAAGTCCACAAAAGCCTCATTCATGTGGCCGCCCCGCATCACCTCGTAAGAGCCGTGGAGCCTGTGGGAGCAGATCCGGGGTGAGGGTTGAGGCAAGTACGAGCATCTCAGGCACCCCTGCCCTAGGATCTGCAGGCGCCTCTATCTCAGGGTATAGAATCCCCAGGGGAAATTCCTGAAGTTTAGAGACTTTTTTCAGAGTCTCACCCTGTGGCACAGGCCGGAGTGCAGTGGCATGATCTCATCTCACTGTAGCCTCAGATTCCTGGGTTCAAGCGATCCTCCTCCCACCTCAGCCTCCTGAGGAGGTGGGCCCTCAGGTGCACATCCTGAGGAGGTGGGACCTCAGGTGCACACCGCCACACCCAGCTAAAACAATTTCAAACTCTTGGCCGGGCATGGTGGCTCACGCCTGTAATCCCAGCGCTTTGGGAAGCCGAGACAAGTGGATCACCTGAGGTCAGGAGTTCGAGACCAGCCTGGCCAACACGGTGAAACCCCGTCTCTACTAAAAATACAAAAATTAGCCAGGTGTGGTGGTGGGCACCTGTAATTGGGAGGCTGAGGCAGGAGAATTGCTTGAACCCGGGAGGTGAAGGTTGCAGTGAGCCAATATCGCACCACAGCACTCCAGCCTGGGTGACAGAGTGAGTGAGACTCCGTCTCAAAAAAAAGAAAGAAAAAGATGTGAAGTTGCTCAGGTGATGTTGTGATTTGAGGGTTCTGGGGGTTGTCACTTGGTTTGGGATTCTTGGTGGGGTGTCTGGAGGATTGCAGAGCCTGGGGGCTCTGGGTGCCCCCTGTGGCTTGGTGCCTGCTGTGGGGACTTGGGGCTGCAGCTGGTTGGAATTGGGGTCCTTACTTGGCATAGGCCTTCTCCAGGAGTGGGGCCCAGAACTCGTTCCGCTGTTCCGAGTGCACGAACATCAGCTTCCCCTCGCGCACAGGCAGCCTGTCATCCACCACGACGTCCACCCAGCGGCCAAACTGCCAGAGCTGGCGGGAGAAGATGCAGGGCCGGACTCGGCTTCCAGCCTGCAACCCTGCCTGGACCCTGCCTCTGGGCCCTGACTCTGCTGTGCCAGTCCCAGAGTGAGGAATTACAGCCCCAAGTCAGTGTTAACTATGAAATCCATATCACCGGCCGGGTGTGGTGGCTCACACCTATAATCCCAGCACTTTGGGAGGCCGAGGTGGGTGGATCACGAGGTCAGGAATTCGAGACCAGCCTGGCTAAGATGGTGAAACCCCGTCTCTACTAAAAATACAAAAAAGGCCGGGCGCGGTGGCTCACGCCTGTAATCCCAGCACTTTGGGAGGCCGAGACAGGCGGATCACGAGGTCAGAAGATCGAGACCATCCTGGCTAACACAGTGAAACCCCGTCTCTAATAAAAATACAAAAAACTAGCCGGGCGAAGTGGCGGGCGCCTGTAGTCCCAGCTACTCAGGAGGCTGAGGCAGGAGAATGGCGTAAACCCGGGAGGCGGAGCTTGCAGTGAGCCGAGATTGTGCCACTGCACTCCAGTCTGGGCCACAGAGCGAGACTCCGTCTCAAAAAAAAAAAAAATAATATCTGGGCATGGTGGTGGGTGCCTGTAATCCCAGCTACTCAGGAGGCTGAGGCAGAGAATTGCTTGAACCCAGGGGTGGGGGCGAAGGCTGCAGTGAGCCGAGATCGCGCCACTGCGCTCCAACCTGGGTGACAGAGCGAGACTCCATCTCAGAAAAAAAAAGAAAGAAAAAGAAATCCATATCACCAAGTCACCACGGGGAAAACTGAGGCATGGGCAGAGGAACTGAGCTGTACCTGGAAGTGGAAGACACCTGCGTAGCCATGCTGGAAATCCTGTCCAGGAGGGACCACCCGGCGCAGGAGCCGGGGATACAGAGTAAGGGAGGCGGCGGCCGCAAGGAACCAGCAGTTACCTGAGAGGAGAGGCCAGGATTAGGTGAGGAGGGAAGGAGGGAGGCTGGGCGCGGGCTCACGCCTGTAATCCTAGCACTTTGGGAGGCTGAGGCAGGAAGATCACTTGAGCCTAGGAGTTCAAGACCAGCCTGGCCAACATGGCAAGACTCCAGTATAAGAAAATTTAGGCCGGGCGCGGTGGCTCAAGCCTGTAATCCCAGCACTTTGGGAGGCCGAGACGGGCGGATCACGAGGTCAGGAGATCGAGACCATCCTGGCTAACACGGTGAAACCCGGTCTCTACTAAAAAATACAAAAAACTAGCCGGGCGAGGTGGCGGGCGCCTGTAGTCCCAGCTACTCGAGAGGCTGAGGCAGGAGAATGGCGTGAACCCGGGAGACGGAGCTTGCAGTGAGCTGAGATCCGGCCACTGCACTCCAGCCTGGGCTACAGAGCGAGACTCCGTCACAAAAAAAAAAAAAGAAAAAGAAAATTTAAAAATTAGCTGGGCATGATGGCATGCACCTGTAGTCCCAGCTACTTGGGAGGCTGAGGCAGGAAGACTGCTCAAGTCCAGGAGGTCAAGGCTGCAGTGAGCTATGATGGTGCCACTGTATTCCAGAATGGATGACCGAGTGAGACCCTATGGAGGGGAGGGGAGGGGAAGGGAAGGGAAGGGAGGGGAGGGGAGGGGAGGGGAGGGGAGGGGAGGAACAGAAAGAAAAAGAACAAAAGAAAGAGAAAAGGAGGGAGGGAGGGAGGGAGGGAGGGAGGGAGGGAAGGCAGGCAGGCAGGCTTAGGGAGAGAAGAGACTGAGGAGGGATCCAGGGGCCGGGAGTTGGGGGACCAAGGGATGGAGCTGTCAGGATCCCAGCTGACACTGGCTGGATCTGAGGACTCAAGGTGGGTTCAGGGTCTCACCCAGGCTCCCCTGACACACATCTGTGCGGCTCATGTCTTCACAGATGAACTTCGGCTCAGCACAGAACTCCTGTGGGTGGTGGGGGATTCCAGGCCTCAGCCCGAGAAAGGAAGGGAAGGTCACGTGCTGGGGCCCTGCCGCCTCTGCTGCTCCAGAGCAGTGAGGGCCTCCAAGCCCATGAAAGGCCTGGAAGCCTGTGGGCAGGAGCATGGCTTTCCTGGGTCTCTAGAAGCTGTGCTAAGCCAGTCCCATGGTAGCCCCCTCCTCCCTCAGTCCCAGGAGTCCAGATCCTCAGCATGCTCCTCCCTCAGACCCATTAGTCCAGGCCCAGCCCCTCCTCCCTCAGACCTGAGAGTTGAGGTCCCCAGCCCCTCCTCCCTCAGACCCAGGAGTCCAGGCCTCAGCACGCTCCTCCCTCAGACCCGAGAGTTGAGGTCCCCAGCCCCTCCTCCCTCAGACCCAGGAGTCCAGGTCCCCAGCCCCCTTCCCTCAGACCCAGGAGTCCAGGTCCCTAGCCCCCTTCCCTCAGACCCAGGAGTCCAGGTCCCTAGCCCCCTTCCCTCAGACCCAGGAGTCCAGGTCCCTAGCCCCCTTCCCTCAGACCCAGGAGTCCAGGTCCCAGGCCCCTTCCCTCAGACCCAGGAGTCCAGGTCCCCAGCCCCTTCCCTCAGACCCGGTCCAGTCCCAGGCCCCTTCCCTCAGACCCAGGAGTCCAGGTCCCTAGCCCCCTTCCCTCAGACCCAGGAGTCCAGGTCCCCAGGCCCCTTCCCTCAGACCCAGGAGTCCAGGTCCCCAGGCCCCTTCCCTCAGACCCAGGAGTCCAGGTCCCCAGGCCCCTTCCCTCAGACCCAGGAGTCCAGGTCCCCAGCCCCTCTTCCCTCAGACCCAGGAGTCCAGGTCCCCAGGCCCCTTCCCTCAGACCCAGGAGTCCAGGTCCCCAGCCCCTCCTCCCTCAGACCCAGGTGTCCAGGTCCCCAGCCCCCTTCCCTCAGACCCCGGAGTCCAGGTCCCCAGCCCTCCTCCCTCAGACCCCGGAGCCCAGGCCTCAGTCCCTCCTCCCTCAGACCCCGGAGCCCAGGCCTCAGTCCCTCCTCCCTCAGACCCAGGAGTCCAGGCCTCCAGCCCTCCTCCCTCAGACCCCAGACCCCAGCCACACTTTACATGGGGCCTCATCCATTTCACGTCTTTGGCCTTCTCCGAGTCAGGCCCCAGCTGGTCATAGCCAAGGGCATCAGGGCCAGCAGGGAAGTAAGGGTCACGGAACAGGATCCCCGAATCCAGACAGGCTGCCCGGATTGCCTCATAGCTCTGGCCCCGAAAGAGCTGCAGGCCCCCAGCTCCGACCCCAGCCTCCTCGTCCACGAGCTGGATGGTGACCCTCCCACTGCTGCACGCCATCTGGACACTGGTCTCAGAAGCTGGCACCAGGCCCTTTAACCTCCTGAGTCATGGGGGCGGGGCCTCTCCTCCACTAGAGCCCCAGTGGGGGTCTTTAGGCAGCGAGGAGCCTTCGCTCGTTAATATTAATTGATGGTTTGGGGTGCTGGGGAGCAGGGACGCCTCTTCAGTGGTTTTCTCCCCAGGGCGTGGGGCCTTCAGTTGTGGCCAAGGTAGCAACTTAATGAGCTTGGCCAGCAGCAGGAGAGAAGGCGGGCAGAGCTGAGGGAGGACTGGCTGCCGCTGTGAGGGCACCAAGAAGGAGGTCAGTGTGGGGGTGAGCTTCTGCCTACTTATGCCTGTGGGGCTGGGGAAGGAGGCGGGTTTACCTCAGTGTCTATCTCTCAGACCGCCTCTCTCCCCCTCCCTCTGACAGTTTCTCTCTCCCCGTTTCTTCTCCATCACTGTCTGGAGTGCGCGATCTCAGCTCACTGCAACCTCTGCCTTCTAGGTTCAAGTGATTCTCCTGCCTCAGCCTCCCGAGTAGCTGGGATTACAAGCTCATGCCATCATGCTCGGCTACTTTTTGTATTTTTTGGTAGAGAAGGGATTTCACCATGTTGGCCAGGCTGGTCTTGAACTTCTGGCCTCAAGCAATCCGCCCACCTTGGCCTCCCAAAGTGCTGGGATGACAGGTGTGAGCCACCGTGCCCGGTCAGGTTTTGTTAATTAAAAATTTTTTTAAGTAGAGATGGAGGGTGGTGGGGATGGTCCCATATGTTCCCCAGGCTGGTCTTGAACTCCTGGCCTCAAGTGATCCTCCTGCTTCAGCCTCCCAGAGAGCTGGGATTAAGGTATGAGCTACTGCATCCAGCCCTTTCTTGTTTTTTGTTTCTGGCAATATCTGTGTCTCTATATTTCCCTGTCTCCACCCTTCCTCCTCTTCTCTTTTTTTTTTTTTTTTTTTTTTGGTAGAGATGGGGTGGGGAATCTCACTTTGTTGCCCAGACTGGTCTCGAACTCCAGGACTCAAGTGATCCTCCCCATTTGGTCTCCCAAAGTGTTGGGATTACTGTTGTGAGCCACCACACCTGGCCCCTCTATCTTTGTGTCTCTTTCAGCATGTGTCTGCTCCTCTCTGTACCTGTCAGACCCAGGAGTCCAGATCCGCAGCCCCTCCTCCCTCAGACCCAGGAGTCCAGATCCCCAGCCCCTCCTCCCTCAGACCCAGGAGTCCAGATCCCCAGCCCCTCCTCCCTCAGACCCAGGAGTCCAGATCCCCAGCCCCTCCTCCCTCAGACCCAGGAGTCCAGATCCGCAGCCCCTCCTCCCTCAGACCCAGGAGTCCAGATCCCCAGCCCCTCCTCCCTCAGACCCAGGAGTCCAGATCCCCAGACCCTCCTCCCTCAGACCCAGGAGTCCAGGCCCCCAGCCCTTCCTCCCTCAGAACCTGTCAGTGTGTCTTGTGTCTGCCTCCCTGTCTCTTCCTCTCCATCTTTCTCTCTGTCCCTGTAACCCACATGTGGCTCCTCTATCATCCACCGAGGGACCCTGAGTTCCCCTCCGTTCATGCCCCCTCAGCCCTCAGGATGCGCCGCCTCCCTCCCTGACAAGGTAGACTCAGCCTGCTTGCCCAGGGAGGCTGACCCTGGAGGGCTCTGCACCTCTCCTGTGCTGGGTGGGAGCCATCTGGTGACCATGGTGCCCTGCCCTGGCCCACGCCACTCTGGGTCTGGGTGGAGTAGTATTTCCCCCAGAGGACTCTGGAGCCATTGGAGGAAATGGAAGAAACAGGTTTGGAGATGCCAGAACCTCAGCAGTGCTGGTCCCAGCAGACCTTGCACCCTCCTTGAGGGTGTCTGCTGCCCCCCCAGAGCCTTGTCACCTCCATGCCGCTCAGATGTCCCTCAAGCCTTCTGGCCTCCTTCCCTCCAAGTGGACCCACAGATATTGTCCAAGCCGTCCACGTACATGGCTACCAAAAGTGGGTTACAAAACAGGCTTTCTGGCTGGGCGTGGTGGCTCACGCCTGTAATCCCGGCACTTTGGGAGGCCACGGTCACGTGTCTCCTTGGAGCTGGGCTGCTATTTCTTTCGTTTGCTTGTTGGTTGGTTGATTTTTTGGGACAGCCTCCCTTTGTCACCCAGGCTGGAGTGCAGTGGCGAGATCTTGGCTCACTACAATCTCTGCCTCCCAGGTTTAAGTGATTCTCCTGCCTCAGCCTCCCGAGTAGCTGGGATTACAGGCGCACACCCCCACAGCTGGCTAATTTTTGTATTTTTAGTAGAGATAGGGTTTCACCATGTTGGTCAGGCTGGTCTCAAACTCCTGACCTCAGGTGATCCACCTGCCTCAGCTATAGGCGTGAGTCACCGCACCCTGTCTTGCTGTTTCTTTTTTTGTATTGTTTTGTTTTGTTTCTGAGACAGGGTCTGACTCTGTTGCCCAGGCTGGAGTGCGGTGGTACAATCTTGGCTCACTGCAGCCTTGACCTCCCGGGCTCAAGCAATCCTCCTGCCTCAGCTTCCTGAGTAGCTGGGACCACAGGCTTGTGCCACCATACCCGGCTAATTTTTAGATTTTTTGGTGAAATGGAGTCTCACTTTGTTGCCAAGACTGGTCTTGAATCCCTGAGCTCAAGCAATCTTCCCATCTTGGCCTCCCAAAGTGCTGGGATTATAGGCCTGAGCCACTGCACCTGGTCGGATGTACAACTTTCAAACCACTGAAGTAGCTTAAAATGAAAAGAAAAGAAAATGTGATCTATTTGGCAGTGGTCAAAAAGCAAAGGAAAATGAAGCGAATCATAGAAAATAAAAGCAGAAAGTATCACACAATGACCTAAATAAAACCAAGCCTATCGGTTATAACAACATTATGCAAAGGTGTGAAACGTACTTGGGTAAGTCAGACAAAATTCAACTCTGTTTAGCTTTCAAAACACTTTCCAGAGATAACAACACAAAATCTTAAAATAAAAGGATGAGAAATAGGTATCAGTCAAAAGCAGATACACAAAAATCAGGGCAAATTTGATACTAGAGAAAACTGGATTTAAAGCATATAGCATTAATTTGGACAAAAGGAGTTATTTTCTATTGATAAAGTATATGATCCAGAATGAAAAGTGACTGGACGGGTGCAGTGGCTCATGCCTGCAATCCCAGCACTTTGGGAGGCTGAGGCAGGTGGATCACTTGAGGTCAGCAGTTCGAGACCAGCCTGGCCAACATGGTGAAAACCTGTCTCTATTAAAAATACAAAAATTAGCCAGGCATAGTAGTGCACGCCTGTAATCTCAGCTACTTGGGAGGCTGAGGCTCAAGAATCACTTGAATCCGGGAGGTGGAGGTTGCAGTGAGCCCAGATTGCGCCTCTGCACTCCAGCCTGGGTGACAGGACAAGATTCTGTCTCTAAATAAATAAATAAATAAAAGACGGGGAGCAATGGCTCATGCCTGTAATCAAAGCAGTTTGGGAGGCCCAGGCAGATGGATTACTCCAGGTCAGGAGTTCAAAACTAGCCTGGCCAACATGGTAAAACCTAGCTCCACTAAAAATACAAAAACAATGAGCCAGGCATGGTGGCGTGTGTGTAATCCCTGCTACTAAGGAGGCTGAGGCAGGAGAATCACTTGAACCTGGGAGGCAGAGGTTGCAGTGAGCCACTGCCCTCCAGCCTGGGTGACAGAGTGAGACTCCATCTCAAAAAAAAAAGTGATCATTTATTACACTATTAGAAACAAAAGGAAAAATACACAGAAACACAGTAGTGGTCATGGGTAATTTAAAACTGCCATTATTCTTCAAATATCAAGTGTTTTAAAATTTGATATTTTGAATAATAGAATAAGGTGAATTTAATATATATGCACACTCATTACATCTATATACACTCATGATTTTCAAGCATATATCAAACATTTGCAAAGACTCAATTTAAAAAATAAAAGGCCGAGCATGGTGGCTCACACCTGTAATCCCAGCTCTTTGGGAGGCCGAAGTGGGCAGATCACCTAGGATCAGGAGTTCAAGACCAGCCTGGCTAACATGATGAAACCCCATTTCTACTAAAAATACAAAAATTAGCCAGGCGTGGTGGCATACACCTGTAGTCCCAGCTACTTGGGAGGCTGACATAGGAGAAGTGCTTGAACTCTGGAGGCAGAGGTTGCAGTGAGCTGAGATCGCGCCACTGCACTCCAGCCTGGGCAACAGAGCGAGACTCTGTCTCAAAAAAAAAAAAAAAAGAAAAAAGAAAAGAGCCTCTGAGACCAGCTGAATAACATCAAGCAAACAAACATATGTATAATAGGACTCTGGGGAAAGGAGAGGAAGGAGTAGAAAAATTTTTGAAGCATTAATGGCTGGAAACTTATCAAACTTGTTGTAAACGTTAATTTATGGATTCAAGAAGCTCAACAAACTCCAAGAAATATAAATACAAAGAAAGCCATACCTAGATTCATCACAGTCAAACTGCTGAAAACAATTCAAAAAGGGCATTTTTTTTTTTTTTTTTTTTTTTTTGAGACAAGGTCTCACTCTGTCACCCAGGCTGGAGTGCAGTGGCATGATCACGTCTCACTGCAGCCTCCAACTCCTGGACTCAAGAGACCCTCCCACCTCAGCCCCCTGAGTGAGTGAGCACACAGGCACACACCACCATGCCTGGCTAATTTTTTTTTCTTTTTTTTTTGAGATGGAGTCTCGCTCTGTGGCCCAGGCTGGAGTGCAGTGGTGCAATTTTGGCTCACTGCAAGCTCCGCCTCCCGGGTTCACGACATTCTCCTGCCTCAGCGTCCTGAGTAGCTGGGACTACAGGCCGCCACCTCGCCTGGCTAATTTTTTGTATTTTTAGTAGAGACGGGGTTTCACTGTGTTAGCCAGGATAGTCTTGATCTCCTAACCTCGTGATCCACCTGCCTCGGCCTCCCAAAGTGCTGGGATTACAGGCGTGAGCCACTGTGCCAGGCTTGCCTGGCTGATTTTTGTATATTTAGTAAAAATGGGGTTTCACCATGTTGGCCAGGCTTGTCTTGAACTCCTGAACTCAGGTGATTCACCCACCTCTGCCTCCTAAAGTATCAAGATTACAGGTGTGAGCCACCGTGCCAGGAATATGGAAAATTTTAAAGGAGCAAGTGAAAAACAGCTCATTATGTACCGGGGAACAATAGAACTAATGGCTAGATTCTCCTAGGAACAGTGGAGGCCAGAAGGCAGATGAATGATTTACTCAAAACACTGACAGAAAAATAAAACTGTCAACCGATAATTCTATATTCAACAAAACTATACTTCAGAACAAACGGCAAAAGAAAATCATTCCCAGATAAACAAAAAGAGAATTCCTGGCTAGCATATACCTAAACGCAGGGAATACTCAAGGAAACCCCTCACACTGAAAATGGCAGCAGACAGAAACCCAAATCCACAGGAAGAAACGAAGAGCCCCAGAAATGCATTTTTCTTTTCTTCTTCTTTTTTTTTTTTTTTTTTTTTTTGTCTCGCTCTGTCCCCCAGGCTGGAGTGCAGTGGCGCGATCTCAGCTCACTGCAA